TTGCATTTGGAATCAAATTGTGGCCTATTTTTAGCAATTTCCCCTTTAGTTAATATACCCAAACCAATTAATTTTTTTACAAATTAATCAAATGCTACATTTTAAACATATTATTGACATGATGATAAAATATTATACATTGACTTTCATAAATCAAGAAGATAATTTTTTTAATCATTTTTCACTTTTATTCCAATTATAGATGTGTTTTTTAAGCAATTAAAAACAATTAAATTTAAAATTAATCTTTTTTCTTCTTTTGTTTACCAATACAAATTTTTATTTTGATATATTAATTTAAAAATAAACTAATAAATAAAATGTTTGTTTTGATTGAAATCAAAACAATAGTTGAATTAATATGAAATGTGTGAGTGTTATGTCTTTGAGTCGAGAGAAGAGGGAGTTTTACGTCTCAAGACTAAGTACAAGAAGACTCTAATGCTGAGAGAGGGTTTCGTCTAAGCAGATCAGAAGTGACGAAGCCCATAAGTAATCCGTCAGGCCCAAATGTTGAAAGGAAAAGGAGCATCACGTGGCGCGCGCGTGAGGTTTTCCGAAAACGGTTTTAAACAGAGATAGTTGGTGAAGACTCTGTTTCTACTTGAAGAAGAAAGGTTGCAGAGCCAAGTTTGGACTATTCTCTAAGGTCGGCTATAGGGTTACAGGCTAAAGCATGCGTGGTTTGTAGTAGGTGGTTGTATGGTGTATAAAACTAAAGAGATTCTAGTGGATTCCGGGTATCAGATCCCGGCGACAGTAGGGTTCAAGTTTATGACCCGAAGTCGTTAAAAGCTTTTGTGTTCTTTACTTTTCTGCAAGTTCTTTCACTTCTTTAAAACACAAATAGATCGAACAAAAGAGAGAGAGCGAACTAGAGTGATTAAGAATACAAAACAACATCATCGTATTGTCTTTAATCCTAACAAAATGAATAAAAGTACACAAACTTTATGAATTAAAGATATTTATGTCAATTGGTTGTGTAAACTTCTAAATAATTTTTCAATGATTATACGTCATCTCTTCTAATAAGAATGAAATTTTGTTTTTCATTATGTTCATTATTATTATTGTTATATCTGTTTTTAATTGAATATATCATATTTATTTAATTTAATAATTTTTATGATTATATTCAGTTTCATCATATTCATTCTCACTTTTTCTAATTATAATTAAGTAGGCAAAACTGGTACATTTTAATACATACAAATTTAGAAAAATGAAATAACTAATTAAATAACTCAAAACTAAAAACTTTTACATTAATGTATTGCAGTTCCAAGTCGAATATACAAAATATAATTTTTTGATCATTTTTGCATAATATATTACATGAGATTATGTGGAAATATGTTTTGCATATATTAAAAATTTTAAATCATTATTATTATTTGAAATTCTTGGTGAAAAACCTTATAATCAAGTAACCTAAGCTTGTATAAGTAGCATGTATTTTTAATAGAAAAAAAATTAAATTTGTAAGTTAGAAGAAATTTTAATATCATGTTGTTTTTTCTGTTAATAGAGATTTCTTTATTTTTAATTTATTTTCCTAACCATAATATTAGAATTCTAATTTTTTTTTTAATTTACAATTTTGATATATATAAATAAAATTGAATTTTTAAATACTGATAAGGATGCCTTGATAATAATGTATATTTAACTGTTATTAATAATAGAATAATTTTAATTAATAATTTTTTCTATATTATTAATAATTTTATAATTTAGAAACTTTTTAATTTTAGTTATTAATGTGTATTAATAAAATTGATCTTTTAAATCTAATGTGGATATTCTAAAGGCATATAGCTTCAACTATTATTTTTTTATTATAAATATCATTTTTTTGTTAATGATATAATTTTAAAATTTGGAAATTTTTTAATTTTAAAAATTGATGTTGATAAATAAAATTAAACTTTTAAATCATATGTGGGCATTTTTAGCGGCATATAGCTTTAAGTTTTATTAATAATAGATTTATAAATCAAATGTGGAAGATCTCACACTAGGCCCGTTGCGGCAAATGATTTTGGTCTCTCCTCCTTGTTTTGAAGCTTACCGAATTTCTAATGCTGCTTAGTCAGCTAATTGTTATCTTTGTGGTTCAGGTTAGGTTGTTAAAACCCCATCAGATGTCATGTTATTTCAAAAATCTTCTTTGGGTACCTCAATCTCTTTCGTCTTAATGAATTAACTTTTTTCTATTTTCAGTGCTTCGTTGTTCAAAAGTGTTGCATATCAATCACTTGACATGTTTCTCGGACTATTTGAAATTTATCATTCTTTTCAAATTCGGTGGCAAAGATTTAGAGATTTTACACTCTCTTTTTAATGACTCATTCTTAAATGAAATCTGACTCTATTTTTTTGTTTCTTTTTTTATTTGAAATGGTTGAATATATAGAAAAAACCTTAAAAATTATTATAGTTATGTGACAAAATTTGGATGTTACTGTAAGAGCCTCTAAATATGTGTATATACATCTAATTTGAATTTAAAATTTCTTATGTTAATATTATTTATTTTAGTTTTTAATATTTATTTATCTTCAATAATTTTAAAAACAATAATTAAATTGAAAACTTTTTAATTTTCAATGTTAAGATGGACCAATGAAAAAATTATACAGAATTCTTTATTCAGAAATAATATTAGAATTTGTAAACTTTCTTAATTTTCTTATTCAACAATAATATTAAAAATTAGAAATTTTCCTTAATTTTGAATGCTGATGTGGACCAATAAAATTAGTCTTTTAAATCCTATGTTGACGCATTGAGAAGCATTTAGCTTCAACTTTTATTAGTATAAGATTACCATTTTTCTAATTGATTTTAATGGAAAGCATGCAAAAGGATGTGAGTTATTTAAATTCAGATATCATATACAGTTTCTTGTGTTTCTCCTGTACTCCCTTATGGCCTTGCCAAATATTTGTTGACAGACAAGTTGATGTTTTACCAAACCTGTCTTTTGTATGCCGAACCATTTTAGTTCTTGAAGAGAATAATAACAGCTCTAAAGGAATACCAGAAGAAGAGCTTTCTTTTTAAAGCAGCTCTTTACGAAACCTGCCTACGCATGTAAATGTTCTACCGAACAACCTTTAGTTCTTAAAGGGAATAATACAGCACTCAATGAAAACCAGAAGAAGCTTTCTTTTGAGATCCTAGGAGAATGGAGAATACCGTGAGGAACAAGCAGGTGATACTGAGAGACTATGTGAAGGGTTATCCTAAAGAGTCTGATCTAATGATTATCACAGCTTCAGACAGGGTGGAACTCAAGGTTAAGCCCGGATCCATGGTGGTTCTTGTGAAGAATCTTTACTTTTCTTGCGATCCTTACATGGGGATTCTCATGAAAGAACCAAATCCTTCGACTTTCACACTTTTGGATGCTTTTGTCCCTGGCAAGGTAATAACATTACAAATACATACATACCCCACAAGAACACATGGCTTTTAACGAAGAGTTGTTGATTCTTCTGTGCAGCCCATATCTGGATTTGGAGTATCTGAGGTAATAGATTCTGATGATCCAGCTTTTGCAAAAGGCGATTTTGTTTGGGGAATGGTCGATTGGGAGAAGTATAGTACTATCAATCCGATTGGTAGTTTCAAAATCGATATCAATATCAATGTTCCTCTATCGTACTACACTGGAATGCTCGGTTAGTATCACGTTTATATATCACGGGAATGAGAAACGAGAATGAAACACTAAGAAAAGAGCATGGAATTTCTTAAAACTATGTTTTTACATAACAGGTATGACAGGTTTGACTGCTTATGCCGGGTTTTTCGAGATTTGTTCACCTAAGAAAGGAGAAACGGTCTGTCTCTGCTGCTTCTGGTGCTGTTGGACAGCTCGTGGGTCAGTTTGCTAAGTTGATGGGCTGCTATGTTGTTGGAAGTGCCGGATGTAAACAAAAGGTTTGTGCCTTTGTTCTGAAACTTATCTATCAAAATTTTTTAAACTTTTCTGCTTTTTCTCGTACATTTTTTGGTTCCCTATATGTATGTAGAATTAAAACAAGTGGATTCATGCTCTAAAAGAGGTGATTAAGATGAGAATGAAATCAATAAAAGAGATAGCTCATAGAGCTTTATTCAAGTGCATAAATAAAAAGAAAAGAGGAAAAAACTTAGATTGTCACCAAAAACAAAATAGTTTTAGATTGATTTTCTTAAAAGGAAAGGAAGAGAGTAGCGCAAATCGCAACCCTCAAAGTTGACTTACATTGATACTCATAACACACACACACACATATATATATATGAATTACTTGTAAAAAGACCTAATTACATGGGCTTAAAGATCATGTGCTTATAGTGTTTCAAAATGTGGGGTTTGTGGACTTGTGTCATGTTCTCTAATTAATACCTTAAAAAGGTCGATCTTTTGGTAAACAAATTTGGATTCGACGGTGCATTCAATTACAAGGAAGAACCTGACCTTGATGCCTCCTTAAGGAGGTACAGTCACTGGTTTACTCTGCTCCTTACAATTATATTTCTTGAACCAAAGAATTACATTGCCTGTGTATTTCAAGGTGTTTACCACAAGGCATTGACATATACTTTGAGAACGTGGGAGGCAAAATACTTGACTCGGTGCTAATGAACATGAAAAGTTATGGACGCATCGCTGTATGCGGGATGATATCTCAGTATCATCTTGAAACCAAAGAAGGGATTCAAAATCTGCCACTCGTTATCTACAAGAAAATCAGGATGCAAGGGTTTGTAGCGCTCGACTTTATCGATAAATTCCCTAACTTCTTGGAGTTTGTGCTTCCATATATAAAAGAAAGGAAGTTGATATATGTTGAAGACATTGTTGAAGGAATTGAGAATGGTCCCGCTGCGCTTGTTGGACTCGTCCATGGACAAAACGTTGGGAAGCAAGTCCTCAAGATTGCTCGAGAGTGAGATATATCAATTATTGGTATCGGTTATGTAGAACTTATACTCCGACTTACAAAGTGTAAAACTCTTAAAAATAGAATATTTGGTTTACTGTGATCATAAAGTAGAAGGAATAACCAAAACCCAAATGAGAAACGAACATGCGCCAATTAAATGGTACACTGAGTCATAAACCTAGGGCTTATACAATACATGTCAATACAAATAGATGTACAAGAATGTGTGCTAATGCGTCTACTCTATTGTCTCCTTGAAGGGTCCAGATTCATGTAACAGCTTGATGACATAATCCACCTGCGAATGTACAAAGTTACATTGTTTAAAGCAACGATCCAATTAGATACCAACATTGCATTTACCCTTAAAACTTTACCAAATCACCATAACTCCAAATGTACCTGATTTGATTCGCGCACTAAAAACTCGTCTATGGCTTGCTTGAAACCTTCATCGAATATGTAATGGCAACTATATGTTTTAACAGGAAGGTAGCCCCGCTGAATCTTATGCTCACCCTGAGCTCCTGCTTCTACTGTTTTTAGATTAAGCTCTATTGCTGCTTCGATTGCCTGTGACCATTATTGTGAAATATGACCTCACAATCATATATTTAGTGAATGTTCGGTCCCAGAATATCCATTTCTGATATTTTTGTCATCTGAAATATGGTCCTACAAGAAAACTCTGGAACTTTGTAGCAACAAGACCAACCTGGTAATAGCACGCTTCGAAATGGAGACTAGGATAATAGGAATCAGGACGACATCCCCATAATCGACCAAATAAAGTATCTCCTCCAATAAGATTCAATGCTCCTGCAACAGGTTCCTCGTTTTCTTCAGCAAGAACAAGCAATACCCCATCTCCTAACTTTGATGCCATGTCGTGGAAGAACTCCCTTGTTAGATAAGGTGTTCCCCATCTACAAAATATCCGGGAAACGTTTCAACATGTGGAATTACAAGCATATGTATTATCAGAATCGCAACGCAGGTGCGAAACACTTGAAGATGCCAGTATGTGCATTATACATAGAGACAAATGTTTGTATGTAAAATATGCTCGTGTTGCTAAGAAAAGCAAATTGTCTCAATGATATGGACTATACTTGTTATCAGTTGTGTTTCTGTAGAAATCATAGAATGAATCCCAGTGCCTAGCCTGCAAAAACATTAGGAACAAAAGATAGATTGAAAAAATGATTGATTATATCCATTAAATAAAAAGATACTCTGAGAAATAATCGACTACAAAAGATAGTGCCATCTTGTGGCAGTCTAGTTGCGTACCTTAATTTCATCTCCTCGAAGTCGTCTCATTTTCAAGTTCTGGGTACCAATCTACTAGAGAAAAGGAGCATTAGAAGTCAGCAGCCTTCTTGAAAAAGATCATAAGGAAATAATAAAGAAATAAGACTATGCATCAAACGTTGTATGGGGTTGAAAAGGGAATAAATATTATATTTAACTATAGAAAATTACTATTCCACTTAACTATAGAAAAGGGCAAAGGAACTGAAGAGACAATGATAATTCTCAAATTACTGGCACAACAAATGTGTATCTATGTCCTTTTTACGTTGCCTTTTTCTCAGCCAAATAAAATAGATGAAAGAACATAAAAATGTGAAGCAAGGAGTCGCTTATACATATATCTTCTAAGACTAGATGATCTCTCGCTCAAATGACTTGCAAAGAGCCACAAGTGACTCCTGCATTTCTACATCCATAAGCTTAGATAGGATCATTTTCATTGCTTCGGTTTCACCGGCATTATCACTCTGTATATCTGTCTTGCTACTTAAGGTAGATTTCACTGATCAGCAGGACGATATCGAAAGAGGAAAATAAAAAACCTTTTTGCGCTCCTGCCGGATATTTTTCCTTTTGCTTTGCTTCATGTCCATCAAGAACTCATCAAAACTGAAGTTAAAAAAAAAATAGTTAACATCAGTCATATATTTTAACTTTTAAAGTAAACAAAGTTGAAAGTCAGCAGATCATGACCACACAGAAACCGATGCATGAATACTAGTATAACCAAATAAAATCTAAGGCATCAATTGCTTCACGGAATTGAACTATTATATAAGACGTTCACCAAACCCTCAACATATAAGTTACCACAGTCAATTGTTGAATGGTTACTGTGAGGAAGTTTACAACATATACACCTAAACTGTTAAACAATCTTAAGCTGAAAAAGATTGCCGACCAGTTCAAAATCTCCTAAAGCATTTAAAAAATATAAAGTACTATAACCAGTCCAGTCAATGTTAAAAAGTATATTGGCAACGAAACTTCAATTTACTTTTTATAGCCACGGTTTTTCCAGTGGTACTGCATCCCAATTCTCTGCGAGAAGCCTTTCTCCTTCAGTATGTTCCACTCAGCTCCAGATGGAAAGGTAATGTGCAAAGATGAAACTTGCAACTGCCAAAATACACAGAATAAAACTAAACATGTTGAAAGCAAAACTCAACGCAAGAAGCCATTACAACTCTAAGACTGTAAAAGGTAAGATTGTTCCTTCATTTTTATTGATAGCTAATATATAGGACACAAACATGAGAACACAAGTTTATTCATGTTACAAAACTCAACATGTTCCTAGTTTTTTTTTCCTACCTATTAGCTATCATACCTTAGCTGCCAGTTCAGTCATAGCAGAAACAATAGCATCAAAAACTTGGTCTTTACAAGGATGATTACGGATAAGAATCCTAGGGCCAGAAACTGGGGTGAAAGGAACACAACACTGGAGTTTAGGATAATATCTTCCGCCGAAACTGCGGTATGCATCAGCCCAAGAGTGATCGAAAACAAATTCACCGTAGGAATGGCTGTATCACATATTACAAACACATGAGACTAGTCATAGAAAGTCCTAGTCAAAAGGTTGGATACATCCACATCAAAAACACATCTACAAGATAAGACCTTTTGAGATAAAGCGGCGTAACGCCCAAAACATTCCCGGATTCATCCTTTGCAACAATATGTAATGGCATCCAACCTGTTTCCTGAAACAGTTGCATATAAGAAAGACAAAAACATCAGAATTAGCTTTGTAAGAAGGAAAAATTGTGTGTTTTTTACACCGACCCTAATGGCACAGCCTGTCTCTTCTAAGCTGGAGAGAAACCCATGCATTAGAAATGGATTGTAGCTTTCAGGTTGTGAAGAATCCAAGGCACAAGCATCCCATTCAGCTTGTTGTATCTCTGATATTGAAGTAACAACTGAAAGTGAAATGACATTCTTCTTCCTCGAAGCTTCCTAAAATCAAAGTCAGAAAAATCACTGTCAACGAGCAGAAGTGATGATGAATATAATATCAACAATGGATAATATACCTCGGTGCCTGATCCAGTTAGAGTATAATTTTCAAGTGAAACATCGAATTCTCGTACTTCAGGAGACTTATTTGACCTCCAAAACATAGCAGTCACTGTTGATGCTCCTCTTGAGCTCCGAACATTTTCTCTCTTCCACAAATTTCCCTGCAGAGAGATCAATTATCGGACTCTAATTCATAAAGTCTAACCAAATTCGCAAGAGTAATACCACTTAGTACACCGAAAGAATCTGGGAATTGGAATCAGGGGAAGAAGAAAGAAAACTCACGCAGCGGCGATGGAAGCGACGAAGAGGAAGCGAAGGTTTGCAATAGGAAAGAACAACGGCCATGGAGGAAGCAAAGCTTGAATGTGTGTGGCTCCTCGCTCAGTTATGTGGCTTTTTTTATGTCATCAAATTACATTAAATACCCTTCGCAAGTCAATCAAAAGTCAACATTTCGATCACAAAAAGTAGATTGCATTTTGCAAACGTATGAATATAGAAAGGATATTAACACATTGATTTTCTAAATGTTTTCAGCTGAACATACAACAGATTCCATTCCGTTCTGGTTTTCGGATTCGGGTTCTAGAAATCATGCCGGATTAAACTGGAATTTTTTTTTTTTTGAACGGCGGATTAAACTGGAATAAAACTATGTTTCGGTTCGGTTTTTGGGTAGTTCGGGTTCTAGAAATTATGGCGGATTTAAACGAGTAAAATATCAGTACGGTTTCGGTTAATTCGGTTTCTTTGAAATTTTGCTGAATTGATCAAAGTTTCCGGTTTTTAGCTCAAATTCGGATAAATTCGGTTATTTTAAACTGAATCAAAGTTTCCGGGTTTCAGTTCAGATTCAAATTCAGTTAGTTCGGTTCTTTAAATTTGGAACTGTAAATGTAGTTTCATAAAATTCGGTATTGTCGGTTTAGGACTCATTAGAAAAAGAGACCAACACGAACACTGGTTTATCGAGAACAAACTTATGTTCTTTCTGACAATATCCACGCCATTTTTCTTACATACCAAAAATAGAGTTACTGACACCACACATTCTCACAGGGATAGCCGAATCACAGAGATAGATAATAGATAGGTCCTGTTCAAGGCTGCAGCTTTTCGCTTTCGTGTTTCTATTCAGCGGGATTTATACATATACAAGAAGAAAAAAAAAACGGGTTGCGAATAATGACTCGACGCTCTCAATATAGCGTGCGGCGGTTGAATGATTCCATCGTTAGATTAGCTGTAAAAGCTGGAATCGAGTTGAACTTCCTAATGAATATCTCTATCTGCAAGTAAGTAACACACAAAGAATAAGATTGTAGAACACGAAGGGACAAAAATTATGTCTGCAGTGCACTTTACCTGCTTCGCTATCTCACCCTGAGAGGTGTATTGATTGTCCTGGTGGAATGAAATCAGTACCAGTTAGTGAACCGAGACCAAAAGGTTTAGAATACAGCATGTGAAAGGTATATAAGTTGCAAGAATTACTTACCAGAATACTGGTGTTTCCTGATTCGTATTCAAATTCGAGTTTTTCGTCATCGCTTTGAGCATATATAGACTGGAGAGTAAACCGAGTAACTGGGATTCCATTGGGACGCTGATGTTCGTCCATTACAATCTGCCAGAGTATTTCAAGAGGAATTTCATAAGATAACAAGTTTTGTAGATGAACAAGAATCTATGATCATTTATCTACACGAATAATGGAGAGGTAAGCCAGCTAAAGACGCAATAGCTTAACCACACAGTTCATAGATCGGAAAAAAATGAAGACACAAAGTAGGAACATGACATTTTAGAACTTGCTAGTAGCCAACATCATTAGTTTACAAATACAGTCCGGAAAATATTATATCCAGAATCATTGCCTTAAAGGAACCATTGTAAATCTCAGCAAAGAAAGACATTTTTAAGTGCTACGACATGGATACGAGGAAAGGGCATACCTTATAACCGAAAAGCTCGCAACAAGCCCTTCTAAACACGGAAATTCTATCAGCAAAAACAGTTTTGTACCTGTTTCATAGACTCCACATGCTTCAGTATATGAAAGCAAGGTAATAGTCGCACAAAGTTAGTGTTAAGGTTTATCGACAACAAACCTCTCTTCACGTTTTTCAAGCGTAGCAACTTGCTCTTTTAGTTGAGCAATTTTTCCAGTTATGTGGGAGTCAACTAGCTTACCAGCATCTCCTGAATATTCATAGGAACAAATTAGAATGACACCTTTAAAACACTAAAATATTTCTTCTCAAGTCTTCCAGAGACAGAGCAACAACGAGGTTTTTGGCCTCCAGTTTATTCTCTAGAAACACAAACTGTAATGCAGAGTATAGTGTTACAGAGAAATTAAGGCATGGCTCTCCAACTTGAATAATTTTGTAGTGATAGTGAAATGAATGGTAGACTTGGGGCAATCCCAATGTCAAAAACAGGAAAAGGTCGACTATTGGAAAATTACCAGACTGACTCTTCAATTCTTCAACAGCTTGAAGTCTTTCTTTTGTCTTCTGTAACTCAGCCTGTAAAGCCTCTATTGTTTGTTTTGCCTCATTTTCGACACCAAGAGTATTCACCATGCGTAAAACCCTTGTATTGGCAGCAGAAAAATCTCCATGACCCAACTGCCAAATATAAGGGAATCCAAATAAATGTTACTATTCCTACCAAACTCTAGAGTAGAAGTTGCAGATCCTAAGTAGCATCCCTGGTTGCAACAATACAGTAAATATAATTCACCATTCACCCTGAAAAGCTCTTGAAATTCATTTCGACCATGGCAGGTAAAAGTACCACGAGATAAAGAAAGATGTTCGTCAGGAGTTGATTTTCAACAATGTACTACAACTAAGTATCTTGCGTAAAATTTGCAAGCATACATATCTGGTATATGTACCTTTGACTCGAGCAAAGAGATCTCAGAGCGAAGACGATCGCCATCCCTTTCCAGCGACTTATTTCTCCTTGCTTCACTGACTAGTTTTTCATTTAGCAGTTCTATTTCATTCCGTTGACGATTATTGACATCCTTCAGTTGACTTAGATCATTCTCTAAATCCTTAAGATAGCTCTCCTCCTTTGCGAGAGCAGATCCAAACCCCTGTACGTAAAAGGAAACTAAGAATAAGAAATATGCTACAAACAAAAAAAAAAGTGAAAAATATGGCCAATGTTATTCTATAACCAGAACAAGGGTTCCATCTGTGGCCCCGGAGACAGGTCCTTCACTGTTGGACTTCCTTAGTTCACTAACAACAGCTTTTAGTTGTTCTTTCTCCTCTGTGACTAAAGAAAGCTGTGATTATAAAGATTATAGATCTGTTAGCAAGAGTGTAACAAAACATGTTTGTATCAAACATGTCCCTGTCAAAATACTTGAGATGTTCTCCTACGAAAATTGACTCTAACTACAGAGCTTCTATCAGCTTCTTATGAATGCATAAACCATTTATCACACATGAAATACGAAGCTGAACTACCGTATATCCAATAAAAGACACTGATACCTGGAGAAACCAAGTAAAGGATATTGAATAGAAAATGATGCCACCAATTTAGAATGCTAGCCTATATCCCTCGAGAATCAAAAATCAACTTAAAGGCCTCGATAGAAAATGAAAATGCACTTGTGACCCTTAACACAGCAGAAGCAACTTCAATCTTACCATTGCTTCAATCCTCTTCACATCTGATTTGAGTGCCTCATATTTCTCTTTAGCTAGTGCAGCCTCAGTTTCAGCATTCTGCCTGTCAAGTTGTGTAGCATCCAGAGCCGCCCCCAATTGATTAAAACGTGTACTTGCTTCCCCAATCTTCATAGTGCTATCAAGCACCTCCCTTCAAAAGGCAGAAACACAAGTCACTGGGAAGTTTCATAGATGCACAGGTTACCTCAGAGAGTTTGGTAGTGTAGAAATCAGTACTAAGTTACTTTAGATTCTCAGAAAGCCACACTTAACCTGCTAAGACTTGCACTACCAAGCCTGAATCTTAAAATATAAAGCTATATCTGCACAAAGCGGCGTTGCAAATATCTTTGATATATAATATCTAGTTCACCTAAGAGAAGTCGGGAAATGGCCACATAACAACCACCTCAGTTTTCCACATATACTTTTATATGGCAGGCATAGTTATTTAAAACATATTAGAAGAAGACTCTAGTGATAAGCTAAAATCTGCTAATACCACGTTGACATACTTTTGCAGCGCCGAGAATTTCATAATTATGTCATCAGGACAGGATACACCAGGAATGTCATTTAGCAATGACTTCCAAGAAGACAATTCATTCTCCACCTTGTCCATGCTTAGCTGCAATTCATGCATTTTTGATAACTCTGATTCTGCCCTCTCCCTACGCCTTTTTTCTTCCAAAAATTTCTCTTTCAACAGCTCTGCATCTAACTGCTGTGATTTAATCTTTCTAGCTTCTCGCACTTCAGCTTCCTGATACCATTATCAAGAATCAATATCATCAAGATATACAATATGGAAACTAGCATAATCTCTCAGCGTGGTTTTCTGCTTATGGCAGCTCAACAGACTGAAACTTTGTTAGAGAATCATTAAGATTGGGAGGGCTAAATAGAGTTAGGAGCAGAAACATAGAGATCACTGTGGAAGTATCTGAAGTTTGGAGATTTGTTTATCTCGAGAGTAGTTCTTTCATTAATCAAAAACGAGTCAGCTTCTATGGGTGAGCAAAACAGAGAGTTTTGATCCGTGTTCTTACCACTCTTATACTCAATTCAATAAATTATGCATCTTAAGCTGGGACAAACTAAGAACTGGTCAAACTTACATAGCGCTTAAGTTCCTCCTGGAGATTTTTTACCAAAATACTGTTATCTGATGGAGATGCTGCTTGGGAAATGAACGACGAAAACTTCTTGTCTACTTCAGTTTTTTCATGCAAACACTGCAAACAAACAAACCAAAAAAAAAATCAAATAAGACAGCGAAAAACGTACCTAAACAACTGATATCTAAGATCCAAGTCAAACATAGCTTACCTCGTCTAATTTCTGTTTAAAATGCTCCAGCTGTGATCTTAAGAGATCTGATTCCTTCTCGGCACTTTGTGCTCTACATCGCATCTTTTCAAGCTAAAAGCAAAAGAAAACAGGTTGCTTATGGAAAAAAAAACGAAAAAAAAATTTAAGTCAAGATATCAAATTTCCTATATGATACTTACATCTGCACCAATTCTAGATACAGAAAGCTTTGCTTCTTTACTCAAGTGGGCGATATCATTGTTCAGACGTTTTTTCTCCCTGTCCACACTACCAGAAACCTGACTTAGTTTTTCTTCCAAGAGTTTAGCTTTTTCTTCTGCTGTTGCAGCAGAAGACTCGGCTTTCTTTCGAAGGTTTGTTTCATTTTGAAGCTTTACCTGGTGCCAAAGAGGAAATAAGGTTAATGATATTAGCACCAACGACAACAATTAAAAATGAGAAATTTTTAGATCAACAACCTCCAGTTCATGGCAAGATTGTAGTTCTTTTGTGTACCGCTCTTGAGAATTGTTGATCTCGCTTAAGAGCTGCTCCTGAAGCACCTTTTCACGCCCCTTGGCAGCAGCAAGTTCTTGCTCTGAGTATAAGAATTTATCTCGTAATTGCTTTCTTTCTGCGTCTGTTGAATGTTAACAAAACCAAAATTCGTTACACAGTCTCCCAATAATATCAAAAGCTCACTAGCATTCGGAATCAAGAACTTCTAAATGATAAAATAATTCCAAACCTGCTTCGCTGAAATTCTCATTTAGAGTCTGTAATTTCGTCTGATACTCCTGGGCTTGTTTCTCTGCTTTGCTTAAGGCATCTAGAACATCAGCTTTAACCTAAAACAAAGATAAAATTTAGAATAATTCGAACTCCAGATTATTTTCTGGGGCTAGAAAGATATGAGTAAGGACCATTTGGCGGCATTGATAGGTGCAAAGGTACTGATCGGAATGATCATGAGAAGCTGTTTGAATCGGAGCAGGAAGAGGAGAATCTTCGTAAATTATGAGCTGATTGCCGGAACTAGCGGCGCCGGTGGGGGTTTGGCTGCCTCCGGCGTCGGACCGGAGCTTCTTCGGCGGCGGAGTCCTCAGAATCATGTTTGGCTTGAATAATTAGGGTTCAGTTCTCCGCCGGGAGCGACAGAGGAAATCTATCTCTGATTTTGAAATCCGAGGCGCCACTTTCCTTTGCCTCGAAAACCGACGAAATTGATGAGAGCGTAAAGACGAGGAGCCAGAAGGTCTCTCGTATCGATGTGTACACACAAGCCCAATTTTTTTTTATTTTCCAAAATGTATTTATTCAGAAAATTTTTATTTTTAAACAAAAGGCTTCTCCATAATCTTTTTTTTTTCGTGGCTTTTCCATAATTTACTAGATTTTACATTTATATTTATTTAAATTTTAATTTATTATAATTCAATTTTAATCACAGAATTTATATATAGATTTTAAGGTTTCAACAATTTTGTTTAAATTTATATATGTGCCATTTTAAAAATATAATATTTTGTCAAATGCTTAACATTTTATATACCAACTTAAAATGTAACAAACTAATTAAATAATACTTAATATATTCTATTAAAAGAGAAGTATTTTCAGTGTCTGTTTCCAAACACACTTAATTTTTTTTAAATATTTTATTTTATATTATATTAAAGTTTGAAAATTGGTTATTAATTTAGATATGGTTAGATTTCCTTAAATATAGGTTATATTTAATTTAAATTTCAAATTATTCGAAATTTTTTAATTAATTTTAATTACAAAATTTAGATTTAATTTAATTTAAAAATAAAAAAAATTATAAATAAATTTATTACGAAAATTTAAATAATAATTTTAGTTACTTGAGAATTTTTTGAAATACAGATTAGATTTAATTTAAATAAAATTTTCATAATAACACAAATGGTACATGAATATCTTATTGTATTTTATCATATAATCAATTGGTTTAAAGTATAAAATATTAAATATTGATATAATATGATGGAGCAAGTTAGAGTTATGCATTTATAATTATAGTCTTATTTGGATTAGTTTTTCAAAACATGTAAAATATTTAAAAAATAATTTAAAATAATTAAACAGACCGATTTGCCATATGTAAATTGTTTATGTGTAAATCTAAATTTATATAATAACAAAGTTCATAATTAATATTAGATCAATATATACTTAATTAACTCATATCCTTATTCTACTAATATAGAAATTTATATTATTCAAAGTTAAAACATGATAACAAAATTCTTGATTTAAAAAAACAAAATAATAAAATGAATTTTTTTAAATGTTTTTATATTAAAAATAAAAAATAAAAAATTTCCGTGCGGATCCACGGGGTTAGAATCTAGTTAATATTAAAACGAAGAGAAAATACTATATATCACTTATTAGTCACGAAAATAATTTTTTCATCAAAAAAACAATATGTAGTTTTTAATTTTAGAAAAAGCTCTCAGACACGGATTTCGAAGCTTTCCAAAAATGTTTGAATCTCGGCCTTCCCCCATTCCAAATCTTGAACGTTTACCAGAAGTGGAGAGCTCCTCCCTGAACCTTCGTTCCTCGCCGTATTCCGCCGTTTGACAACCTGCAACCATGTCTCTGCCTCTCTGCTCTCTTGTCTTTCAATGACAAAGATTTTCAAGACCACACTTTATCCTCTAGCTAATGCTACGTTTTTTCTTCTGGGCCGCTTGAAAAGGTCTTATACCCGAGCCTCCTCTGGTGCTGTGTCACACTCTTCCTTCTACTGAAAGCCATTTTTCAAAAGATAAGCTGCAAGAACATATCTCAAACTTAAACCTCTATTTCTCAGCCCTGGTGATGCAAAAAAATTCCTCTTGAAGCTTACCATCCTTCTAGCTTCGTGCTAAGAGTTTTTTTCAGTTATACGGACCTCCTCATTTACAAAGCTATCGCTGCTCTGCTCTTATCACCACCATCATAAGAAACCACCTTTTTCTAACAACAATGGAGAAGTCGAAGGATATCCTTAAGAACTCGTACCTGGTAGAAGATGAAGATGAGATTATTGAGCTCCCCCATGTAGACAACTCTCACCTCCTAGCCAGATTCAGCAGAAGTCTTGTGGGTCGGATGTTTAATCAAGAAATCAGGAGCACTGAAGCTCTTATTGCTTTTATGCCAAGACAAAACATTTGGGATGTGGAAGGGAGAGTTCATGGCATAGATCTGGGCAACTCCAGGTTCCAATTTGACTTTGATTCTGAAGCAGATCTGCAAAAAGTTCTGAACAAAAGGCCTTGCCATTTCAACAAGTGGTCCTTCTCACTTGAGCGCTGGATCCCTCATGTAGGAGAAACTTTTCCAAGCAATATGACCTTTTGGATCAGAGTTTCAGGCATCCCAACTCACTTTTGGCTGGAGGAGAACTTCAGAACCATTGGGAAAACGCTTGGAGAGGTGGTGGCAGTTGATGCTAGAGCAGCCAGGGTTCAAGTTTCTATCAATGCCGATGAACCTCTTAAGTTCAAGGCCCGAGCCAGGCTGCAAACTGGTGAAGTTGTTAAGGTGGACTTGAAGTATGAGAGATTGGATCGTTGGTGCCTTACATGCAAACACATATCCCATGATGAGAGAACTTGTCCTCTACTGACTGAAGAGCAAAGAAGAGAAAAGATGTTAGAAAGGGAAGCTGAAAGAAACCTGCAACAAGTCGCTCGCGAAGATCAATCTAGAGACAGAGACATCCTCCATCTCCGTCGCCAAGCCGGGCAAATCTCGGTTCCTCTCCGCGAGAGAGCCCCTGTCTCCCTCCCGTCGGAAGAGCTTCGTTTACCTCCTCCCTCCTCTAACAAAGATCGAGCAGACGTGCAGAGACTTAGGAGAGAGTCTCGTGTCCCTGACGAAAGAAGAGGAGAAGATAGAAGAAGTGACAGTGTGTGGAACCGTATTGAACCATCTAGAGATTACCGATCTGAAGCTAGAAGATATGAACACCGGGCCGTTTCAGAGGAGGAGCAGATTTCTCGCCACAGAGATCCTCCCTTTCAACCTGAGAATGTCTACAGGAAACGGCGTTATGAGGATTCCTTCTTGGCGAGTAAAAAAAATGAAGGAAAGCATAAGGAAAAGGCCCCTGTAACTTCAAAAGACACTCGGGGTGACAAACCTGAGAAGAACATCCCTCCTAATCCTACTAAATCCTCTGATCCGCAAAGAACCTCCTCTGATCTTCCTACTCTCCAAGACAAGGGCAAAGCCAAGCAGAATACTTCCTCTCCGGAACTCATCCGCAGCAGACCCTTCCGACTCAATCTTCTCAGCAAAGCTGCAAGCCTGAATAAAGGAATTGGCTCTGAGGCTGGAGATTCCTCCGATGCAGTTAGTTCTGCAAAAAAATCTCTCTCTTTTGCACCTAACATCACAAGCGACGACAACCACCATCTCTCGCTGAACAAAGACCAGAACAACATTGTAACCCCCATCCCTTCTCAACCTCTATCTACCAAGAGTTGGTACGAGCAGACTCTCGAAGAAGAAGAAGATGAAGCAGCTGACCCAATGGATGAAGATCAAGTTCTCATGTCTGTAGCGGAGAATACATCTGTGGCCTTCGAGGTAGCCGATCCTGATCTACATCAAAATCTAAAAATTGCTGAAGAGGTGCTCATGGAGGAAGACATCTTGGCTGACCCCGTGGCGGATCCCGAAGGTGTGATGCTGTTTGAAATAGTCGAAGGAATTGCTGAAGACGACGAATGGATGGATGATGACGATTTGTTTGATGAAGGACAACTCGACGAATTGCTAAAAGACGACGATCTGCTCGGTGTGGACTCAGGGCAAGAAGAACAGGCTCCGATGGGTGATGAGATAGTGAATCTGACTGAGGAGAACCCAGTCCGGCAGAGAGCATCCTGGTGGAGAAGCCCGCCGAAGTCGGATGATCAACAAGTCCAATCTGCGACGGCCGGAAATCTTGGCCGGAACACCGGGAAGAAATCCAAAATCCCGAAATCGCCGGCTCCAATCGGTGTGTCGCTGAAGAAACGAAGCTTCCAGATGGGCCGCACTTCGCCAAAGCCCAAGGGAGCTGGAAAAACTACACATCCAGGCCCAAGCCCGAAAGGAAAGAAGCATGAAAAAGCAAAAAAGGAAAAGAATGTCAAGGGCCAATCTTCTAAGGGCCCAACTTCTTCTGGTTTGGGTGAGACCCAGAAACCAGCAAACAAGCCCAAATGAATGTGATTGGCTGGAACTGTCAGGGCGCGGGAGCCGACCTGACGAAAGATCATCTCGAAGAGCTCCATAAATGTTTTTTTCCCCGCTTTTTATTTCTATCTGAAACAAAAAACAATCGGATATTTATGCAAGATATGCAAATGTATTTTGGCTATGATCATGTCTGTACCGTTGAACCGAGAGGTCTTAGCGGTGGTCTAGCCCTTTTTTTATGGATGAACCTTTGGTTTTTATTACTTATTTAGATGAACATCTAATTGATATTGAAACTTCTCTAGACGGACACAAGATCTTTTTGTCTTTCGTCTACGGTGATCCGGTTGTAAAAAACCGAGATTATGTTTGGGAGTGTCTCACAAGGATGAGCTTATCCCGAAAGGAGGCCTGGTTTATGATTGGCGATTTCAACGATATAACTGGAAATCACGAGAAACGAGGGGGTCGCCGAAGACCGGAATCCTCCTTCATCCCCTTCTGGACTATGCTCGAAAACTGTGGGATGCTAGACCTACCATATAAAGGTAAATCTTTCTCATGGGTCGGACGAAGACGCTCTGGAAAAGTCAAGTGTAGGCTTGATAGAGCCGTTGGAAATCAAGAGTGGCAATCCAAATTTTCCCACACCATTGTGGAGTACCTTAAATTATGGGGTTCAGACCATCGTCCGGTCTTAGCTATGATTAAAACTGACAATCGGAAGAGGAAGAAATCTTTTAAGTTTGATAAGCGTTGGCTAGGAAACCAGGCTTCAAAGAGGCAGTAACATCAGGATGGGGCTCTTTTAATGGAATCTCATGTAGGGATTTCCATCAAAAAGTAGTTAATTGCCGCAAGAGTATATGTATCTGGAAAAGATCCCTTCCAACAAACTCAGAAAAAATGATAGAAGACCTAAAAAACCAACTAGATTTGGCACAAGACGATGAGAATACAACCACAAAAGAAATCGAAGACATAAGGAGGAAACTATGTATAGCCTTACGGGAGGAAGAAACTTACTGGAAACAGAAGAGCCGTGAGAAATGGCATAATATG